CCTTGCGGGCTAATCAGTGCCAGGATGTCACATGGGGTTAAAAGCAAAGACAACAGGCTTTGTAACCTCAGATGCACATACACTCAAATAATTACTGAAAAGGGAGGAAGGAGTTTGAATTTATGCAAGAGTAATTATGCCATTTGGGGATATTAGAGAGATTTTCTCAGCAGTCTGCCACCACTTGCAGTGCTTTTCAGAGACGAGTGGCTAAGAGCTGCACATGCTGACAAACACAAGACCTACGGCTCATTGTGCAATCTCTCGGCCCTTACAAAATGACGCTCAGCATTCCAGTAATTCAATAAAGCCTTCCAGTGAATTACATCCCCGATCAGAAGGGGGATTGTCTCTGTGTCCCTGGCAGCGAGGCTGGGAGGTGCCCTTTGTGTATGGAGCAGTGCTGCTGCCCTGACACCAACCATGCGGACCCAATTACACTGCTTTGTGAGCCTGCGGCCCCCGCATTAACACATTCTCCCATGAGAAGCATCGAGCAGTGCCAGCCTAGCAGCCATTCGCCAGACCCCACTGTTGAATCTAAAATAAAGCACTTAAGGCTCTGGCAAAATAATCATTTGTCCCTGGCATTCTTGAAAGCCCCTTTCTCATCAGAATTCCCTGTTCCTTTCCTTGGCAATTAAAGCAAAGCTCTTCAACACTCTGCTGTAAGGAGCAGCACAATGGGAGCTAAGAGCTTCAGCAGACACAAACCAGTCACAATTGCATGAAGTATTCCATTGTTTCTCCTTCAGATGTCATGGCTTCCTTAGACATTTCTTGAACTTCCTTTAAACTAGTGACAAGTATATAACATTTCAAATAAGAGCCACTGCAAGAGCTGTGCAATACATAGAGTTGACAGATTGTTTAAAACTATCTGGTATTAGCCACTTTATACACTTCATAAAATCATTTTAACCCATGCACTTTGGTAGTGCTACCACTCCAATCTATAGCTCTATGTATGGCATCTCGATGTTGCTTCTGGTGCTGCCTCAGTCACGCGAAATCACAGGAGGAAATAGAGTTCAGAACAAAGTGGTAGCAGTAAAAGCACCCAAAGCACTAAATAAGGTGTATTTTTTGTTTATTGAGCAAAACCCTTTCTAGAATAAGTCTTTCTCCAGAGAACATCACAGTTGAGCTTCAATGGAGAATATTTGCCATTTGTTTTGAGCTACAAACTGCAGTTTTATAACCCCGTTTTACACACTGATCCAAATTTTCGTTATGAAGTTTTTTGTGACAACATGCCTCAATCGAAAACCAAGGGTGCCAACTGGAGCTCACACATTTGATTGAGCTAGTGCTGGGCGATATGACGATATATATCGTGGGGACGATAGAAAAGTGTCTATTGTCCTATTTCTCTTCTATCGTTTCTATCGTTTCTAACCTAACCTAATCAATTACTAAAGAAAATATTGCATTAAATAGGCTATGACAAATGTATGATAATGTCTTGTGGCTATACAATGCATACTCTTTATATAAGTGATAATCAAGAATAAAAATGAACTTTTTCGCAAAGAAACTCCGTCTTGTGATTTTGCGACGGGACGCTTTACGTTGTTGCGACATGCTTTACGCTAGTAGTGATGGGAAGTTCGGATCATTTTACGGATTCGGTTCTTTGAGTCTCGTTCAGTAAAATGAACGGATCTTTTATCGAGTCATTTCGTTAATTTTACTAAAATATCAATAAATGTTGTGTGTTACTTCCACATCTACTAGCGTTTTATACACAAACGCGAAGCACACTACAAATAAGACAAAACTATAATGCAAAATTTAAAATGAATATAAATATATTACTAAAGCCTACCTGGGTCTTTTAGTCTGGTTTACCCAAACTCTGATCTGTCTTCTTTAGATTTAAATCTCTTTTGTTCGACACAAAATTACTTCACTCTGACGTTAACGTGTGCTGTCCGTGCACTCAGTCCGTACTGGCTTCTTTAGCACTTTTATATAGATAGTGCCGGGATCCGAAAAGATTCGTTCTTTTAGCGAGTCCGGGTCCTTTCGGTCTTTTTTCTTTCCAGCTCATGCTGCATTGGTTAACATTACGGAGCGGCCATGAGCCGGAACCCGAAAAGATTAGGTCTTTTTGCGAGTCTCTCCGAAAGATTAGGTCTTTCAGCGAGTCCGGGTCATTTTGTTCTTTTGTCACGTGACCGCGCCACAAAGTTAGGCAAAGTCAGTATGGAAATATGCACGGGCAAGTGGCGAGAAAAAATATAGCCAGCCTAAAATTAAAGAGTCTTTCATAAAATGCACACCGTATGAAAAAATGTCCCAGCGCCATAAAGAAATCACATGTGCCATCTTGCATTACTGTTGTAAAGGCATGATCCCTGTGTATGCAGTTGAGAAGGGTAGCTTCCAAGACCTCGTCAAAGTGCTTGACCCGAGGTACGTTATGCCCAGTCGTAAGCACTTCAGTAATGTCGAGTTGCCTCGCTTATATAACGCATGCCGTGCCCAAGTAGAGAAGGATGCTTGCAGTGTGGTTCATTTTTTTTAACTAGTTTATTTTGATAATACTATTTAAATAACTATGATGTGGTTAAAAAAATGTGAACGCTACTGTAGCTCTACTTCCACCACATCTGTTGTCATTTGATACGTTTACATTGCTGCACTAAAATGTAGTTTTTCTCATTTGTGACAGTTCAGTTAAATGTCACTTCAAAATAAAGTTGCAAAAAAAGTATGCAATGATATTTTTGTCAAACTTTTCAGAGAATAACTGAAAACGTACTTTATTGTGGTATATCGTGATATATATCGTTATCGTGATTTAAAATAATCCATATCGTGATATATAATTTTTCCATATCGCCCAGCACTACCGAGATCTACTCCTGCTCTGGTATCCTGCTTCACTTAACCAAATCAGTCTGTTCTGAATCCTCTGTAGATTTCTCTGTCCTGCTGCAGTCAGATGAACTTCTAGATCTACTCTCTCTTTGCTTCCTTTAGATGGAACAACATTGTTTTCTTCAATTACAAATATAAGAATAAACTTGAGGAGATGTTTTATTGAGTTCGGACTGACTGATTGAGGCAGGATTTGCTTGGAAAAATGATGGTGGAAACATAACTGTTGGCGGAACAGGGGGAAACAACGAGTTTGGAGGAAACTGAAAATATGAGATTCAAAAGCATTGTTTATGATAAATATTTGTCTAGAGGGGTCCAACTTTGGTCCAATTTTGTTGCCTGCCACCAACCCCATCCTTACAACTCCAACTTCTGCACCATAATAATTGCTCTATTAATTCCAACCTGTGCATTTTTAAAGAGTGTTACATTTTGAACTGGGTAAAAATAAGATGATCATTTTCAATCAATTTGAGATCAGATCTGCACCTCACAATAGTCACCAATGTTGTTAAGGCCCTCTATGTTTCCCATTTAACTTAAATACATTATTGTATTGTCCTAATAATAAAATACACATGCCCAGAAGAAGTGAAGTCTTTTGTGAAGAAACAAAATTGTTCAGTAATCTTCACTTGTCAATAAAACATCAAATCAGATCTGATTATTGATTTTATTTACTTTATCACAGTGATCAACGGTGTGCTCACACGTAATTTTGCAAATATTTCAAGTTGTGCCGCCTTGACTAAACATTTATCCTGTCTGTTTGCTTTTCTGAACACTGTTTTCCACCATTAACTCTCAAAGACGTTTCTAAACAACTGCAGTCCATTCAAAATACTTTGACTTTCGCCATCATTTAACAAATCAATTAAGAGGGGAACACTTCCCCAAAAACCCTAGTAGCAACAGAAGGAAAATGCACTCAAACACCCAACAAGCTTTTCTTATAAACACAATATAAGCTCTACATTTAGGAAGTAACAAAATATTACTTTCTCTAACAACCCAACCGCTACACACAGATGCATTACCAACCAAGTAAATACCCTAGCAACCATGTCTCCTTGCAGAAAATAACCAAAGACCTTCGATTCACTCAACAAGGACAATCAAACTATCTGGTTCTGTCCTTTCAGACCCCATGGAGTGGAACTGTGGCAACGTTCAGAAGTGGTTGCTGTGGACCGAGCATCTCTACAGACTTCCTCAAGTGGGAAAAGCTTTCCAGGACCTGGATGGTAAAGACTTATGCTCTATGAGTGAAGAAGATTTCCGTCAGCGGTCACCTCAGTGCAGTGAAACACTACATGCACATCTGGACATATGGAAATCAGGTAATTTTACTCACAGCAGTCTATCATTAGCAAATGAAACATCATGAACAATAAAAAACTTAAACCGCAATGATTTAACAATGAGCTCAAACACCTCACATATCAATGCACGTTACTCAAACACCGTGGCAACCATATAGCAATACACTCAGCATAGTTATAATGTTTAGCATCTGTATGATAATGCACCAAACAAACATTGCACAAGCATTCAGATACCCTAGCAGCCAACTGAACTATAATGACCGAATAGCAGTATGTTAATCCATATAATTAAGCCACAACAGCCTTAGGAAGGGATTTTTATCAGAATCATTCTTCCAGAAGAGCATTTGTGAGGTCAGACACTGATGCTGCACTGGAGTCTTCGCTCTAGTTCGCCCCAAATGTGACTTCCCTCCAAAAGAATAACAGAAAGTGACTGTAGCTGCAGTTTACCAACTGACCACATGAGGCTGATGTAAGCAGATTGACACCAATGTTTAAAGTGCTCCAAAGAGGTTTTGCTTTCCATCAGTAATTTATAAAAGTAATGTCATAACGTGATGTGATCTTAGTAAAGGGTATGGGCAAACGTATCTACAGTTAGAAACGCGAGAAATTCTATGATTGTATTTATTGAGAACAACCAAAAAGTCTTAAAAGAACGATGAACCAAGAAGAAAGGAAATCACATGTATCAACTATAGGAATCTGTAATATTAACCCAATAATATATGCTACTTAACGGACAACCACTTTAATACCAGGTAGAAAAACACTACTGAGGGCGACACAGTGGTGCAGTGGGTAGCACTGTGGCCTTTCAATTAGAATGTTGCTGGTTCGAGTCTCCCCGGTGACCTTCCTGGAAGGAGTTTACATGTTCTCCCCATGCTTGGGTGGGTTTCCTTCCAGGTACTCCAGTTTCCCCAACAATCCCAAAAACATGCGGTTAGGTTAATTGAATAATCTAAATTTTCCCCTTAGGTGTGAATGTGTGCAATGGACTGGCCCCCCACCTCTTGCCCAATTTGTGCTAAAGATCGCACCAGCAGACCCCCGTAACCTCAAAAGGAAATGAGCGGGTTGGAAAATAAATGAATGAAAAACACTACTGACTACTCAAACAACTTAAAGAGGTGATATAATAATAGCAACAACTAAAAACGTAATTTTGCACCAATGACTGTTGAAACAGCATTGCAAGCATATAACCAGGCACTAATAACTAGCTTGTTTCACTTATTCAGCTGCCTGGATGAAGGAAAGATGCTCAGGTGGAGAGACCAGGATGAGAGGTTTGTTGCATTCATACATTACAGTGTAAACTATAAACAATGTATATTTTTGGCTTGATTTTTCTATTATAATCAACGGAAATATACGAAATATTGAAAAAATTGCATGTATCTCTGCTGATAAATGTCATGTGTGTGTGTGTGGTCTCATAGAGGCTGATGAGCTGTGGTCTGAAGCAGACTCGTCCTGCTCCGGTCAGCCCATCCACCTCTGGCAGTTCCTCAGAGAGCTTCTGCTCAAACCTCACAGTTATGGACGCTGCATTCGCTGGCTCAATAAAGAGAAAGGTCAGGACAACTCACGATAATGAACAAGAATCTCACCATAGAGCAACGTGTGTGCATTTAGTACTAATACATCTCTAATACATCGTTCAATTGTTTTGCAAGTAAAATGCCTATAGGTTTAGTTATTTCTCATATAGAGAATTGATCATGAACATAGATAGTGGCAATGGAGACCTCTGTACATTACATAATTATAATAACACATCACCAGCACATCAGAGGGACAGCTCAGGTTGGTTGTTCTGGAGACAAAGTCAGAGAGACCAGATTGAGATGGTTTGGACATGTGCAGAGAACGAATATTGGTTATATTGGTAGAAGGATGCTGGAGATGGAGCTGCAAGTTAAGAGGTCAAGAGGACCGCCAAAGACTATATGGATGCGCTGAAAGAGGACATGAAGTTAGCAACACTAGAGGATACTGAGGACAGTTAGGTGGAAACAGATGATTCGCTGTGGCGACCCCCAAACTGGGAACAGCCGAAAGGAAAAGAAGAAGAAAGCGGAAGTAAGAAGCAGGTAGCTGAAGAAGGAAGTTTTTGCAGCTAGCAAGAAGTATTAGTGATAGTAGGCAGCAAATATTGTTATATCAGAAAGCGGGAAAAGGAAGCGGTAGAATAGACAGTGTACCTGACAAGCGACACAAGTTCAAAGCCCAAACATGTCATCCTTTCCCAACCCGCCCCTTCTCTCTACCCACTTCTCTTCCTGTCTAAATACTGTCCTGTCATTTGGCAAAAAAACTTTAGGTAACAAGAAGTGACTATCTTATAGCAAGGGTATATGTAGTGGTAGAAAGCCGTTGTCAGCAGATAGCAACAATAACTAGTGATAAGTAGGTAGAATGAGTACATAGTGATAAGAAATAGTTGTGTTGGTAGCACCAACACCTGATGGCTACCAGGTAGTGGTCGCCAGCAATGGGTAACACTACTACCACTTGATAACACAAATAGCAGCAGTAGGTCGTAGGTGACTGTAACAATTAGGCTTGCGTGTAAAAAGTGGTAGTTCGTAGTAACCAAGAGTAGCTAGCGATAAAGAGTAGTTTTGTAGGTAGCAAGTAGTGATGACAAAAAAGCAAAAGTAGGCAGTGGACGACTGTAGTCAGTGTTGGTGTAGGTGGCAAGCAGAAGTTAGCAAATAGAAGGAGTAGGTAGCAGGTAGTGATGACACGTAGTTTTGCAGGTAGAAAGTAGTGGTTGGCAGATAGCTGGAGTCAGTAGTAGGTATCATGTAGTTATGCAGCTAGCAAGTTGCGTTTAGTGTGGAGAGACCAAGAGTAAGTGGCAGGTAATGGTAGTATGCAGGTGTGTAGGTGCCAAGACGTGGTTAGCAGATTACACTAATCAACAGGCATCAGTAGTAGTTGTTCAGCTAGCAAGTAGTAGTTAACCACTAGCAAGTAGTGGGTATTGATGTAAAGTAGTGGTTAACAAATAGCAAGATAAGGAAGCTTTAGCAAGTAGTTGTGCAGGTAGAAAATAGTGGTAACCAGACGGTAGGAGTAGTAGCAATGGTGGTAGCAGGGGGTGGTTTGCAGGTAACAAGAGTACATTGCTGAAAAATGGAACAAGCTGGATGATAAAGTTACAAGCCAAGTTTGACAGACATGTTTCTGGTCCCATTTGTTAACAGGGATCTTCAAGATTGAGGATTCTGCTCATGTGGCTCGTCTCTGGGGATTGAGGAAGAACCGTCCAGCTATGAACTATGACAAACTTAGCCGCTCTATCCGGCAGTACTACAAAAAGGGCATAATACGTAAACCAGACATCTCTCAAAGACTCGTCTATCAGTTTGTGCATCCGGTGTAACAGAGGAGCTGAACTTTATGAACTGACAAACCCTCAACATGAATCTGGCTTTGTTTGGGAGACCATTTCAAGGTTTTCTTCAAGAGTCGAACCAAAGAAATGAAATAGAACTAAAACATGTTTTGTTTTTGAGGACAAATGTGTGCTTATAATTGGTCGACCTGCTTGCACTTGTTTGATTAGCAAAGAATTTTGTTATTTAGTTCCTAAATGAAGCAAGAATCTCTCAATCAGTTATTACAGGGAACAATTTCTTTGATTACTCTTGTCTTGTTACAATTATGCGCACTATTGTACTAAATTTGAAGGATTTTATGTGATTTGGGATGTCTCTTTTTCATTAATTTTCTTACAACCGAGACAGAAAGTGTTATTAGGAATTTACCCCAAACATAATAATGCAATTGCAGATTTGTGAAGGCAATACGTTCCGTGTTTCTTTGTTGCTCACCTCTTTAAGACCCCACGTTCATAGATTGCTTTGTTTGTGAAATCACAAACCATATGAATCTGCTAATGCCAACCCAGCAATTGTGCATTGTCATCTCTTCATCTCGCTGTAGAATCATTCAACAACCTGCCCAGTCTTTAGCATTTCTCAAAGGATGTTTTTGTGTTATGAACATAACTGCTTCAAGTACTGAAAAAAACACTCATGGGATTTGTTAATGGAGGACATTTCTGCCCAGAACTGTTTTGATTAGTTAAAAACTGTTAATTAGCATACAAAACTGATTTATCACTGAAAAAAATCATATGAGTTTGTAAAAAAATGTAAAAGCTATTAATACAAGGAACAATAGTTAAATCTAAATACCAACACACGCCCCAGTGACTAGCAGAGACTGAGAATGAATTAATATACGTTTATTGTACTTCAGAATTAAATGCTTGACTTCACATGCAGGAAAGTGGTCATTAAAATAGTCATAACATTTTATTCATTACACAGTATGTTCTAAGCCAGATGTATTTTTAGAAATACATTTTTATAATAGAGTAGATTGAAATCTTTTGATGCAGCAAGATAATTCCCGTTTATGTTAGATTGTTCATAGCCTTTCATTATCTGAAGATACACGTGTAGTGTCTCACAATATTAACTGTTCAACAATAGCACTAAGTTATGTGTAAAACGTAAAATAACGCGTAGTCTCTCTACATGTTACAGGTTTCTCGCATGTTCTGCCTGTGAATCTTGCCAGCGTGGCATTTCCCTGGTTTCTCTAATCTCTGCCAGCCGCAAAACAAACATTTCCTTTTTCCTAAGCAATGATTAATTCCACTCCAAACCTCTTCAAGCCGCTCCACGTCATCAAACTTTCTCCAGTTCAATTAACCGTTGACGTAACGCACGTAAGCGACGCTTGCTAACGTCACGCGTTACGCCAACGTAAACTGTTTTAGGGGAAAGTGCAGTGTCCATTTGTCACGTTAAACGTTTAAATACTGTAGTCTTGGTTTATTTACAAATGTCTTTGAGTCAGAATTTTTAACATTTCCATTGTGAATTTTAATCGCAGGATTAGAACTCTTTTCAATCGTCGACAGTATCTCGATGAAATATTGATTGTAAACTAACGTTAAATTGTTCGTGAATGCCTTTATTAAAAAGAAACTTTTTCATTTTGTCGTCTCTTAATTTCTCATAAAACTTACACGAGGTGGTTGACTTAATTTTGACGTATAAATACATACACAAATAAATTGGTGGTTTTAAAAAATGTATTCATTTTATTTTAAAATAATTTTAAGGTACTGTATGAAATCAGACTTTCCCTAGAAGAAATACATAATCGGAAATAATAGCAAAATATAGTAAAAAATTATTATTTATATGTGTGTGTGTGTTCACACTATATATGTGAATTGAGTATTTAGTAATTGTTTTATTGCGCGTCAAAATTAATACACATAGAATTTTCATGTGAATACATTTTAAGTCCATGTTTATTTGACTGAGCTCATTGTATTTTAGTATATATTTTAGTATAATATATTTTTTTAAATTAACGAAAAGACTTTTAAATATATTTCGAATATACGTCACGCAACAATTTCATCATTGAATTTGTCAGTAAAACCAAAAAATGTAAAAACATAGTATAAATCTTCTACTTTTAACCTTATTTTGCAGACATGTTTAAATGTATTTTTATCATAGTTGAATTATATGACTTTTTTTCTTACCTCATATTAGTACAAATTATCGTATGATAAATAAATAGTGAAACACGCTAAATTGTTTCAGATAGGTCCCAGAGGATGCTCTACCGTCTACCCCCTCTAGTGTTTGCAACTCTGCCCTCTGCTGGTAGTTTCACTCTGATCTCAGCTTCATGACTGTTTTTATTATTGTGCACATGAATGGAACAGGTACTACACCGAGAACACATCAGTCCAGTCTAAATGTACAGTTTACAGTATTTACACGTCACTCGTCCTCCTCTTAAAGACAG